ACGTGGTAAAATCATTTGTACATCATATCATTCGAAACGCCTTACAGCTGTACGTTGTTGAATAATTTCGATATCTTATCCTTCTAAACGCTTAGCTAATAATTCCATGATTTGGCTTTTGTTGGGAATACGATGATGTGGCTAAGAAAAACACAGTCACTCCTAAATGATAAGAAATTAGACAGAAACATTGGGCGAAGGTAAACAAACGTCACAAAAATGAAAATTCGTCAAAAACAATAAATTATTCAGGCTCTCCACTCAGAGCATATCTCGTCTTTTCTCACCTAAGTAAAACATCTAAAACATCTGTGGGACTATTGTTCAACTTTGTTACCTAGAAAATACTATGCAGCCAGGCGCGGCAAATTATGGGGAATTCGAAAAAGAAAAAATTTCAATGATGCGTTATATTTCTTCTTCTAACAAATGCCCTCTGCGGTGAAAGAACTTGAATATTTAATGAAGTAACGAAATTCATGCATGCGTGTTTGTGTGGATATTTTTTTAGGACATATTTAAGTATTTTACGTCTGTCAATTCTTCTGCTTATGTACGCAGGAAAGAAATTACTTGAAAAAGTAGTAATAAAAAGATAAGAAAGGAAAGCCGAAACTTATTGCGAACGTAGCTAATTGTTGTCCAACATAATGTTTCTAACAGTTTATTGACGGCATATATAGTGCATGACAGTCTATTTCTTCCGCCTTTGATCTTCTGAGAAGTACAATGATTGGATATCGATTGAAGGGTAACTCTGCATCCCTTGTAAACATCACTTAAAAGTAAGACCGAGAGAGTTCGTGCTTACTTTTATTAACTTAGCTGAACCGTTCGTTCAGTTAAGATCTAAAGCGCTGGTCTTTGTTAATGTGTTGCTTACATATTGTTTCATCCGTGTTTCCTTCTTAGTCCCCATGCATCAATTGACCTTGCCAAAATGGTGGGACATGCGTGCCACAGTACGATAACGATAGTTATGTATGTGTTTGCGCCCTTGGATTTACGGGGAAAGATTTCCAAATAAGTAAGTTTACCAGAGAAGAACCAGTAACCAGTTACATTTTTTCTTACATTTGCTGTTTAAATGGAACCCGAAGTTTTAGACATGCATACGACACTTTGGTCGAAAAATAGAAAAGAAGAGCCTGTTAAGACGCTGCTGTTTTCGATTCTGGCCTTCAGAGAGGTATCAATATTTTGACAACTAGATACTTAAATGTGTTGATCGACTTCTTCTTTGTTGCTATCGATAGTTTTCGAAAAGCGAAAAGCTATGAATAACGTTCAAATTACTNCCAATAATCTAAAAACGTCTAATTGCATTTCCTTGTGGTCAAATAACAGTGAATATGTTTCCAAAAAATCCTCCTAAAGGCTTATTCATAGAAGATTATACCGTTCTTTAATAGAGGTATCCAGTTAGTGCTGTTTGATCGTTTTTGTTACCAATTCAACATCTCAGACTCAAAAAAGATATGGAACTCGGAAAATGTTTGCCCTTACTGGTTTGTATTGTTGGCTGTCTTCACAATTCGCAAGGTATTGCCGAGTATATTTCCATTTATAGCTTTAATTTGGTTTTTCTTTTTTCGAAATTTCTGATAAGATGTTAGAGTTGGGTCAGAGCTAATAAGATGTTAGAGGCATAGCTAGGTCAGTGGCAGTATCTAAAAACTTGTGAACGGTGATAGTTGATCATAACTCGTAGACCTTTCCTTTTAAAGCTCTCAATCGAGATTCCTCAGATTCAGAGGGATTGTTGTTGATAATGATGGTAGAAGAAACATTTCATCGCTTGAATATCACGGGGATCATTTCAGCCCGAGTTGAAGAGGGCGACGAATGTGGATTTGCTTGTGCAGCCAACCCAAAGTGTTTTTCATACAACTTGGAGGCAAATATCTCCCTAACCGGAACAGGCCTGTGTGAGCTACTTCCATCAGACAAGTACAACAATTCGGAGAAATTCATCAAAAGCCCAAGGTTTCATCATTACAGTATTAAGGTAAGTTCTTGGCTTTCATTTTATTTTAAATTTTAAGGGACGTGATCTGTCGCACTATATAATTATAACAATCGCACTTTGTATACGTAATACCTGACGCATTTAAAAACAGGTGTTCTGTTCTCTCTGATGCGTCTTTGTTATTTTACGAGGCGATAAAAGTCCGAAACTGTATCGAACTTAGGCTCCCCGTATCTCTTTGGCCGCGTTAAAGAGTACTCGTAGCCGTGACGTCACGGTAGTAACACCAAGTTTATCAAAGAAGCAAAGTGAGTGTGGAAGCTATTGTTGACAATCTTTTTAGCCAAAAAATGCCGTTTCGATGTGTAGTTTGAGGTTCTTCGGATACCCCTGACCCGATGAAGAATATTTCTCTCCACGAGATTCCTACTGTGACGTCATGGTGCCCAGTCCCTCTTTGCTCGGCTAGACATTTTATCTGCCGGTTATAGAGCTTGATAAAAAATTCAGAAAAGGGCAAAATACCACACTGACTGTTGCGAAAACATGTTTAAGAGTCATTATATTTTGATGTAGAATAGAAAAAAAAAGTGTCATGGGCACTTTAAACCCTTATTCGCGAATGAATATGAANAGTGTTGATAGACGTCATCTTTTGCTTCGATCAATAGTTTTCGAAAAGATTAGGAGATATGTCGAACTTTCAAATAAGCGTACACCACGTATGTGTGTAATCGTAAATATTTTACTGATCACTTCCATCATGAAAGGAGCTATCTTTCTTAACAAACCGAAATGCTGTGTTTGTGCGTTTCTCGTTTTGGACCTATCAGAGTTATTTCGTAAAGTAATAAAATAAATGCCCTCCTACTTTCGATGCAGATATCGACGACTGCAAGAATGATTCATGTCAGAACAAAGGAACTTGCATTGATCGAGTCAATGGATTCGACTGCCGATGTCCACTTAGATATTCTGGCGCTCGATGTGAACTTGAAATAGGTAAAATTCGCGATATTATTTATGTATAGAGGGTGATAAGAATATTGCTACAGGTAAAGACAAATCTAACGGTAATGAGAATTTAAAATAATTCTGAAATTATCATTATCTATGAGAATATTTCTATGATTCATTATGTGGCTTGGGCTAGTGGCCGTTATAGCGCACGCTCTGACTGGCTTGGAGCGAGATCGGAGACGGGCAAAATACAGCCTGCAGTAATGCCCACGGGCCGTTTACAGATTATACATAGAAAGAGCACAAAATGTCAGACAAGTGCCGCGACGGTTCTTTTCGCTTTTCTGTAAATTCGAGCGCATGAAAACCACGAAGGGCGATTAACAGTCAGTGAGAGTAGACACAGTTTAATACTAACAGCTAATTTTTTTTCGAAGAGCAGCCAAGGTACAGTTTTATATTACCTATGAGAATGTGCTGGAAGGGATGACGCAACGAAACATGAACACATTCAAGATCACACCTAATATATGAAACCCTAAAAAAGATTCGTGTTGGAAAACTGTCATTAACATGAAAAAATTACGATATTTTCCTTAAAAACATTTTGGAAAGAGGTGATTTTAACTTACCGGCTGGAAACCCTCAGTTCCAAATTCTCCCGTAACGACCTCACGCTCGGTTTGAAAGTAGTTAATAATTCTTCTGATCAAGACATTATAAACTATTTACAATCTCTTGTTCTAAAAGATGATTATTAAAAAAAATATTATTGCCGTAGATTTGTCCTTACTTTATTTGTCTCTTTAAGTTGCTTTTACATTAATGCAGGAGACATGAAATTGCGATTGCAAACTTTACTCCGACCATCAAAAATTCTTTGTCAGAATGATATTTCCATAATTTACACAATGTGACATCCTTAGTTTTTTGTTTTGTTTCTTTTTTTAGACATTTCCATCAATTCTACAATTTTGTCCAAAAACACTGACTTTCTCCGCAACCTATCAGATTTTCTGTCGTGTGCCGTTGGAAATAGTTCACAGTGGTTGCTGTGCCACCGCGCCTCCATGCACGGCTGGGCTGCTGCAACCTTCCACACCAGGTGCGACCATAAAAAACACACCGTGACCATCATCAAAAATGGCCAGTACGTGTTTGGAGGATACACTGATATTCCTTGGGGTAAATGTAACTTTCATGTAACTTATTTTCGAGGCTTTCCCGTTAGCAATGTTGACAGGAGGGGATGGTAGAACTTTTTTCAACAATTGAAAAAGCTGGTTTTAGATCATTTCAATACTCTTTTGAATTTGTACATTAGTATAAGCTTGATGACTCAGAAACGCGTCTTGTCACGAGCGTGGGACAAAGAGAAAATGAAGAATTCACAGGAAGAATCTAACGTGAGAGCTTCGGACTCCGTACTCCAGTGCTGTTCAACTAAGACACAGAGACTACGATGAGATCACTCGGTTCACATGTGACACGAATCCCGCATAATGCTAGAATCAGCAATATATATATAGAAATCCTCTTGTGAGTTAACTGAGAAGAAGAACTGGATCCACAGTTTGTCTTATTCTATTAATAGGTTTACACATATTGCATTTTCAAATCGAAAACACGTCTCAAACATGTGCACGCTCTTGTTCTTCAGTCTCTACAAGTGGTTCTGCCAACACTTCCAGTGCGTTTATATTTTCTCTACGGAACAAAGAGGAGCTGCATCCATTTAAGAGCAGGGTGCGGCGGCCGGAATATGCCATTTACAGCAGTTCTAGTTACGGTCCAACATTCGGATGGGGCTACGACATTTATATATCGGATAATGCCAACAGCAACAAAAATTCATATACTACTTTTGCCTCTGGTGGCTACTACGAGTCACCAAAAGGAGTGCAAGATCTAAACACAATCTTGGCCGGTACGCAGTTCTTCTCACCTGATGACTGGGAGGTGTTTTATCTTGGTTGAAATACCTTTCCATCCACATTACTGCCATCAAAACGATTTACTAGACTGGGATTCAATTGGCCATGAGGGCTACCCTAGAAAGATTATTTACATCCTACCGTGTTACTTTCAATAGAAATAGAAAAATTATCTGTTATATTAGTCTCAGCACTTTTTATCTATTGTTCTATTGATCATCGAGAAAGTTTCTACTTATCTGCACCGAGAAATTTAGAGTACTACTAGTAACTACAATTCAACTTGCTGAGGGATAAACTTAGAATATGCTTTGCAAATACTAATAAGAATAACTATAGTCTAGCTAGGCTGTACCTCGTGTGCCTCTTTTTTGTCCCTACTACATTTTGACGTCATCTATGATTTATAACTAGACATATGCAAGTCAAAATGGTATCTATTTGTTAACTTGATCACATTCAATTTTAAAATAGTATGAAGTGTAAATAGGGTCTTTTGTTGTTTTAGGTAACTAGCACGGCTAATATCACCTATTTCATCTATAATAAATTAATTTTGATTTCACAATAATGGTCACTTTTATTTGTTTTTGTTGTTTTTTTAGATGTGACTAACCTGTTCCACTAATTCACAGGAAAATCCGTTGAAGATGAGATACAGTCAAGGCACCGCTCATCAACCGATAGGTAGATGAACCCCAATAAATCTCTGCTAGGAAACTGGCACATTAGTTCAATACTACTTCAAGTGTTCTCTCTGACTAGCACTGCTCAAGGCCGTCAACTTATTCGTGAGGAAAGTAACGCTAGTAATGAAGTCACGATTGTAGGTTTTACTAATGCAAGTTTTCCCCTTCTTTCATTATTTGGCTATTCGTCTTTTCTCGGAAATTGTTTTACTTTTTCTTTTTTTACTTTTTTTTAGGATTAATTGGTAGTCCTAGTATATTTACTAATAATAGCAAAAATAATGATAAAAAATATTGATAACAATTTCATTGGCAGAAAATGAGGAAGCTTTAGCAATAATTACAGATTCTTAGCGATAATAAGCACGCTGATTTTGTTTCTAGGGAAAAGTGTAAGTTATTATTATTATTATTATTAATTATAAAGTTAATATAAGCTGATATAAAGGATCAAGCAAGTGATCTATTGAGAGCAATAGAATTAAATTAAGTAGGGGTCAAGAATTCATATTCTCTCTACGGAACAAAGAAGATCTGCATCCATTCAAGAACCTGGTGTTAAACCAACAACATGCAATAGACAAGTACCAAGGATGTGGACCAACTTTCGGTAGTCGTAAAATTTTCATATTGGATAATGCCAACCGCAACAACAATTCAGCACTAATTTTGCCGCTAGCTACTGCAACCACAATTCTGGCTGGTACATATTATTTCTCACCCGATAACTGCGAGGTGTTTTATGCTGGTTAAAATTCCTTTTCGTGAAAATCACTACCATTAAAAATTATTCGCTGGCCTGTAATTTAATTGGTTGAGAGCTACCCAACAAGCTCTTTTTACACCCCACTGGGCTACTTTCTTAAAACTAGAGAAGTTATCTGTTACTCTCGGCACTACTTACTTACTGCCTGGATCATCTATGTAGATGGCCTCCATTTATGCACACTGAAATGCTTAGGGTAATCCTTGTAAAGGAAATTCAACAGGCGGTGGGATAGGTTAGGATAAGCTTTCAAAATATGATAATATTGATGTGCAATGTTGTGTACCTGGTATAAGCTGGAGCTAGATAAAGTGACCCAATTAGAGCACCAACAAATTCACTTATCCTCTTAAACATTAGATGAAATGTATTTTCTTTATCTTCTCCATTGTCGAAGACATCCACAACAGACCAGGGGGCACTAGGCATGTCTCTCTGCAAGGAAACTTGATCGTAACTCTTGAAACTTCGTCTCTTGATATAGACAGGCTTGGGACAAACCTTCTGTAGACGAAGCATTACACAAACAAGATCATGCTCACTTATCGTACAGAAGACAGTTTTTGCATTCTTTACCAAGCTGGTATTTGAAGCCAAGAAAACATCGATTAGAGTTGCAGAATTCTCGGTTATCCTCGTTGGGTGATGATTAAGAGTGTGTCTCTGTGAAAGCGGTCCGGTCAATTTTGCTTGAGACACAGATTCCCCTCATTTCTTGTGCGTTGTAAGACATTCATGTGCCTATACTAAAACCACAATCCGTTTGATCGGATCTCTTTATTTTTCAAAGTTTTACTGAAATAAAATTTCACTCGAGCGAAGGCCTGTCGTGACACTTTTCAAGACTTTAATTTGAGACAACTTTGGAGGACAATTTAAAAGAAACTACGGAACTCAGCAAAAAACAAATACCACAGCCAAGTATATTAATTCTATCTTATCCATCAAGGCGACTTTCGTGAACATCACATTTCAATCAAGGAAACAGGAAGACTTGAATGACACCTTATCGATTTGCTTAAGTCACACACGCGAAAACCGATCAAATTCAAGGTAAATTTTTGAAAAAGTGAGGCGTTCTTAACTGATCCAACTAACATAGTTAGGAAGTAGATGCCATAGAAAAGGTAACTACAGAAAAAAACTTTGCGG